TTAGGAATATCAATATTGTCGACAAAAAAAAAATTAAAGGGTTGTGCCCTAGACACGTCCGTAATATGACATAGAACCACGCAAAATTGATGTTTGTCATGCATTTTTGACTATTAAACTTATTATTATGAATGGGGCGGGGCAGAACGTATCTTTTGTGCAGAATATGGATAAAAAGGCTGGACTTCGGATGTTAATCTAATTGCTTAAATAGAGGTACCAGATATGTTTTACAGTCAGTTGTTGGTAACTTACCAACATAATATCATGAAATCTCTTCGGATCACACCTTATTCAGATGTGACCGCAGTGAATTGATCAGTCAGTACTCGCGTGGAGGAGGAGTGCTCGTCGCGGTCAAAAACAACATCGTTTGTGAACCTGTCACTTTGCCGAACTGCGACCAACTGGAACAAGTGGCAGTTTGCGTAAGGTTGGGGCATCGTTCGCTTTACACCGTCACCATTTACCTTCCGCCGAATTCATGCTCCGACTTAGATTCAGCTCATGTAAAAGCAGTTCAGCATATGTCAATCCGTTCTTCAGAAGTTGATATTATTCTATCACTGGGTGCCTTTAACCTGTCGAATTTGCGAATTGGCATTTGGATGGTGATATAAATGGTTACATTCCCTCAAACGTTTCTTCGGAACACGAACAATTCCTCATCGAAAATATGTTTGTTAACGGCTTCCAGCAGATAAACAGTTTCGTCAACATGAACGGTAGACTTCTCGATCTCGTGTTCGTCAACCTACCTGAGTATCTAGACGTCATCGCACCATCTACGCCACTGTTACCCGTTGACAATCATCACGAGCCATTCATTTTACTACTCGACGAGAGCAGCGACGATCTGGCTGCAATGGACGACCAAGACGAGAGTTTCAACTTCGATTTTAAAGCATGTGACTACGATCTCCTAAGCAACGCGTTTGCTGGTATCGACTGGGATCTTCTACTGCAGAACAGAACAGTGGACGAAACACTTGCAGTTTTTTTTATGAAAAGCTGTACGAAGTTTTTATCGAGCATGTACTTCGGAAAAGTTTTCAGCAAACCATGGTGGACTACCGAGCTGAGATATCTCCGGAATAATCTCAGAAAATCACGCAAACGGTTCTTCTTAACAAGGGCTGATAGCGACAAAGTTATCCTCCGCGAAGTGGAAACGTCGTACAAGGAACTTCTTTTCTCGTCATATAGAAACTATGTATCGGGAATTGAATCTTGTGTGAAACAAAACCCTGCATCTTTCTGGGATTTTGTTAGGAAACAGAAATCTTCCACCCGTTCATTACGACGGAACTCATGAATCAACGCTGAAGCTGCTGACCTGTTTGCGACGTTCTTCGAGAGTGTGTTCACTAATCTGTCACCTGTACTTCGACATGACAGCTTTGCCCATATTACTACACATAACATCACGCTTCCTGTTCTCCAGTTTTCTTTAGAGGAAATTCAAAAATCTCTTGAAGATGTAGAATCAAACAAAGGGCCTGGGACAGACGGCATTCCTCCACTGTTATTGAAAAAATGTTCGTCCACACTAACATCTCCAATCGCTCGATTGTTCAACCGTTCGCTGCAGGACAGGACTTTTCCAACTGCGTGGAAAACGGCATCGATAGTACCAATCCATAAATCTGGCAGCTGTAATCGCGTGGATAATTATCGTGGGGTGTCTAAACTTTGCTGCCCAAGCAAGGTTTTGGAAAAGTTAGTTCACAAGGTCTTGTATAATGCCTCTTCCTCGATTATCTCGGAGAGCCAGCACGGGTTCATGAAACATCGGTCTACAACAACAAATCTGATGTGTTACGTCACCAAACTGTCTCGTGAAATTGAACAAAGAAGGCAAGTAGACGCGGTGTATATTGTATATCGGTCACTGATAAAATGAGGCACATAGGATTCCCCGATTGGATAACAGAGTGGCTCTTGTCGTACTTATCAAATCGAAATGCTTATGTGGTTGTTAACTCTGCACGATCCCATTCATTCAACATCATGTCTGGTGTACCGCAAGGTAGCGTTCTCGGTCCTCTAATCTTCAACATTTTTATTAACAACCTGTGCATACTACTTTCATCATTCAAACTTTCCTTTGCCGATGATCTCAAAGTGTATCGCATCATTGCCTCGTCTTTAGGCTGTGACGCTTTGCCGGATTATATAAACGTCATGCTTATCTGGTGCGGTGACAACGGCATGCGCGTTAACAGCAAGAAGTGCAAGATAATATCTTTCACTCGTTGTATCGGTCAAACTCACCATCAGTACTATATGGACGGTAAATTCGATCTGCGATCTGGGAGTCACCAACGATTCAAAGCTGAGGTTTAACGATCATGTAGGGATTATATCAGCCAAAGCTTTTTCGGTATTAGGATTTATCCGTCGACACGCTTCTGACTTCACCGATGTATATGCTCTAAAAACACTCTACTGTTCATTGGTGCGCAGTATCCTGGAGTACGCTGCACCAGCTTGGTCGCCGTATTACGTAACACAGACTCTGACGATCGAACGTGTGCAGAAAAGGTTCATAAGATTCGCTCTTCGTCAACTTCCTTGGAACGATCCAGAAAATCTTCCTCCCTATGTCGATCGATGCCAGCTGATTAAACTCGAACCTCTTTCTGCCAGGCGAGTCAACATGCAACGCTTGTTTGTCTTTGACCTCATCAAAGGATCCATCGATTGTCCTGCACTTCTCGAACAGATTCCACTGAATGCTCCACCCAGACGCTTCCGCCACTCGCCACTAATAGCAGTTCCTTATCATAGGACAAACTACGGCCATAATAATCCATTCGACTCGTGTCTTCGAGCATTCAATGACGTTAGCGATGAGTTCGATTTGAATTTGTCTAAAAATGTGTTTAGTAATAGGATTAAAGATAAGGTTTATGTTTAATTATAAGTTATTCAGTCTGTACGACTAAGTCGAAGATGGTGTAATAAATAAATAAATAAATTAAAATTATCATTTGTACATTTTTCAAATGTTTTTGTGGAATATTAAAAAAAATATTTCAGCAGATTCGTAATGTAAAATCCTATCGATTGGTTTATTTGGATTTTATTTTCATCTATAAATGACAAAGTTACAAGCGTTGAAAACCTAACACTATTTCACCACACATATTTTTTGATTTGCACCCCAGTATAGTCGACAAAGACGTAGTTCTACGTCAAAAAAACAATCACGAAACTCTGTGATCAATTTCCGTTCGAAGTTCGACGATAAGTTTAGCGACTATCGGTGCGAAAGCCTAAAACATAAATTAACAATCATGATACATAGCAACAACCGGTGCGTAGACAAGTTGCTAACTAAAATAGCAATGGCTAAAGTTGTCAAACTAGCAGACTGGATAGGAAAGCACCGGTGCGGGTGCTCTTAGGTTAGGTTATTCAATTTGATTAATTTTGATCGCAAACAGGAACGCTGAACACCAAATTCGATGGAGGGGGTTAATAGAATCATCACAATCAACTCAAATTAAAATACTAAAATAAGTTTGTAATTGCTAACCAGAATAAATTGAAAAAAATGCTACCTGTTCGACGGGATTCCAATTACCGGCAAACACCGACTTGCGACACACAATAAAGTCCTATACTCGTCATAGCGTCCAGCAGAAGAAGCAACGGCAAGGTCGATTTTGTTTATGTTTACGTTTTAGGTTTCGAAAAAAAAAAGAGTAGGCTGTGTGAGATACGTACGACCATACGAGAGACGCCTGCTGTTCTCACAAAAATATTGAGTAAAGTTGGACGGAGGGAGAGTGAGAGTTTGGATTTGTTTTGATTCTCTCTAGCCGTGCTGTTGAGAGTGGATTCTCATAATATTATAATTCCGTGTGTATGTGCAACATTCAACATTTCTTTTTTTTTATTATTTAACCGGAGATTGCTTCCAACCGGTGGAAATTAACGATTTTAAATTGGCTCACTACTTGACTAGCCTATTGGTCCCAAGAAAATCGATTAACGTGCCCCATTATAGTCGAAATTCTAGTACTACACCATGTTTGTTTTGATTCGCTATGAAAGTTTGACAGATAAAATGAGGGGCTAGTGGATTTTCCCGAGGGGGCGACACATCTAAATATCAATTCTAGATGGTCAACAAATCTCACACTCGCGAATCAATCTTCGAAAAATCTTCTCTCATTTATCGCATGTACTTGAATCACGCATAACATTTTTGCAGGAAATCTTCAGAATCGTCATCAATCTTCTTTCTAAATATCTACTCAGCGTGTGCGCAGCAAAGCACAACAAAACACAATTTTCCCTGCATCGTAGATAGAGTCGCCCCCCTCGGATTTTACTATGTTTCGAGGGGTGAATCGATTAGCTTGGGACCGAAGATAGTACCAGAGCTGAGCCAAAAAGTTGAGCACGTTTCTTCGGGACCGACTAGTCTTAGAGTTACCTCTATGGTATAAGGTCCTAACTCGGGTCCTGAGTAACATTGATCGATTGTTTTCATCGACCTTCTCTTTCGTTAATAACTTGGATACAGAACCATTTCTTGTATTGTTTGTCGTATTGAAAACTATTTACCTTTATGATAATACCTTCTTTCATCGATCTGTGTGCTGAAAATAGCTTGGAATGTCTTAACATGGCCTTGAGGTTGCAAAGAGAAAGTTGCGAAGAGAATTTGTGAATGTTACCTATGACCTAATGCATTGGTCGAAGCATATGAAAACATTCAATCGGCGCTGTCGGCTTCGGATTCCTCTCTGTTTTGATTCTCTTCGCTTTTCCGGTGAGAGAATATCGTTTGCGAGCACCCGACGCCTCGTGAGAATGTTTTGTTTATCTCAGCCGCCGCTGTAACGACTGAAGGAAGGAGCTGCTACAACGAGTACTACTGACGGCGCGGTGGTGATCCCCGATGTCCCTAAACATTCTGTCCGCTGTTGATTGCTTTTCAGTCTGTCGTTGACAGTCATTCGAACTGTAAGCGAGTGTGGCTGTACCGTCGTATTCTATCGCGCCTTTGGGAATGTGAGGGGGTGAGATTCAAACTTAGATCATTGGTAGTTTTCGTTGTTTTGTGTCTCGTAAAGATTCTCGTTCCTGTTTGAAATTGAAAAGACGCTTGGCTTGGGACGATTCAGATATTGTGGAAAAATCGCGCGTCGCTCTAGCGCGAGTGGCAGTTGATTTTGCCTGTCACGTGTGCCGGTGACGGAAATTAGCAAAGTAGTGTTCCAGTGTAGAGTGTTAATCGGTGAGGAAGGAAAAATATTTAGTGTGGATTAATAATCGCTAGTGCAATAAGATTACTCATGTAAGCGAGATCAGTGGCAGTCTTCGATTTCAACTGAGTGATGTCATTTAATTGATTGTTTGAGGTTTTTTTTTGCGAGAATCAATTAATGCGTTTGATGATAGCTGGAGGAAGATTAAGGTTCATCTTCATGTGATCACAGGCTACTCTGCTCGGCTTGGAATGCGAAGTGATGAAAACAGGAAAACGGAAAAATTAAGAGGAAAAGAAGCTGATGCTTTGAAGTTATACCGCTTGAGCTGGAGGCTGGAGCGTACGCGCTTGAGCGATTGTTGACAAGTCGCTAAGTGAGTGACGTGTGTGAGAATTCTCCTATTGGATTACAAGAATTCCGCTCTTTGGAACTATTTTTCGACTGTTGGTGTCGATTTTGGAACGTTTGTAGTACTAGATTGATTACATTGGTGATTCAAATTTGGAAAGTTCTATCGGCTCTTGTAATCCAGTAGTGTGCTCGGAAGATGCTTATTTGGTGAAAGTGCTCTGACGAAAGATTGGATTTTAAAGAAGAGTCAGATGACAAAAGACATCAACAATTTCCAGTGACTTTTTCACAGAAGGTAAGTCCCATTTCCTGTGGCTTAATTAATCGACTGCTACTTGTAAAACATTCCTCCATCGTCTCATATTTCACGGGATGACATTTTTTTCGCTGCGTCTCACGCCCCATGTTTTACACTAAAATAAAAACCTAGCTTAAAAAAGAACAACAATAATAGGTTCAAGTCGAAAATAGATATACCCCCACCGTCCCGTTTCCGATAGCCAATCGGTGTTGTGTTCAAGATCTGGAGTAGCAGGTTTCGATCTCCGTAAAACCCGTAGGGAACGAACGAAGTCTCACTACACCGTCTCCTCGCTACCCCTCAGGGGCAACACAATTTAATCATCGCTACAAATCTTTTCTGATCTTCGTCTGTCTCGTGGTCGTTTTTCATATGTACGCTCTTTTATACTTTTTGTTGTTTTCCGATAGGTTCTTTTCCACCTTTTCATTTTTGATACACTCTTCTATTCATATCTCCGACTCCGGCCGAAGCCAACCGGCCTCATCTCTTCTTCATTGATTCGATTCGGCAAAATAAAACAACAACAAAAAACTGAATAAAAAGACAACAGAAGGTAAAACAAAACACACGGTTCAAGCGAGCATCAACAATCCGCATGAATATTAAAGCCTGATCTGAACGAATGTACGTAGAGGAATCCGGTCCGTATTCCTCTCTGTCGTCGTCGTCGGTCCTCCACATATGACGCATCCCGTTCCTCGCGAGCTCGCTCTTTTTCGATTTCATTGTATTTTTTTTTCTTTCAAATCGGGATTCATCTTCATTCCTCTAGTTCTCCTTCATCATCTCATTCATCTTCGCCAGCACCGCGCGCGTATGTCGCGTTCTTGACTTGCGACCTGACCAAGGTCTTTTTTTTTCATATAATGCATAGATCCGAATGGAATAGATGCGAAGTGGTGAATTTTGATTCACCTCTTTTAGAGTTGGGGATTACATTTGACGTTTGGTGTTTTGGATTTTATTTTATTGGGTTGAAAACACTTTGGTATATGTATTATGTATGCCACTTTTGCCTCTACTTGAAGCTAACTGGTAAGTGTTTTCCCGTGTATCCGTTTGGAAGCTGATGAATCTATTCGGTTGTTTGATTTGTTTCTCGATGATGAATCCAAATGGGAATCGAAAAATGTACTTGAAATCCGTTTCCCATACATGAGATCTTTCTTGGTTTGGTTTTAGTATGGTTTTTTTTAGCAGCCTGAATAAGATGACCATCAAACATTTCAGTCAATTCAACCACGGCTGGATTTGATCGCTTTTGAATTGGCTTTCCGATGCGAACCTATAATTGGCTTTTCATTGGACTTCAATTCGATTTGGGATGAAATTTTTAATTTCATTTCTATCGTACTGATATATTATCACACACATTCTAGACAATCAACCAATCTTGGTTAGAGGATACATCATACCATGAATCATCGGTTCTCTATCTTACGTTAATTGATGTAGCTCGTTTTGGAAATTAAATAAACTTGTGACCCATAAATATTGGGACATATATTTTGACAGGTCAAAGTGACTTCAAAAGCATTAATGCTCGGAAAAAAATCCGTTCCCGAAAACGGGAACGGACCGTGAACTAAAAATCACGGCCAACTATCCAGAACAAACTTTTCTCAAATATACACCGTGAACTATGGTTCACGGCTGTGGTTCACGAATATGGGAACTCTTTTTTTCCCGTGTGACCTAAAACGTTACAAAACGGCATTACGACATCAGAATGCACAACGACCATCATGTGTCAAAATAGCTTAAATCTATAAAATAGGAAAAACATCCAAGATAAGCTTAATACTTTCACGCTCAGAATTGAAATACATCAAATATTAAAGGGTGTCCCACATCAAATTGCATCACGGAAAAAACGCTGTAGAAAATTACCTAGTTGACCGATCCTTTTCAAACTTTCACACCATAAAATATAACCCATTAGTAAGCTTTTGGCATATTTATTTCATTCAACTTCAATACCATAACCGTACGCTCGCATCTTACGCTTAACTCCACTCTTGCTGCAGCTTCTTCTGTAGGGAAACCCATTTTTTCTTCATGTCTTGCTCAGATTTGACCTCCTTGGGATGCTTCCGTAGTGCCTGCTTCAGAATAGCCCATTATTTTTCGATGGGTCTTAGTTCCGGTGCGTTGGCGGGAGGGGGGGGGGGTTCATGTCCTTGGGTACGAAAGTGACCCCGTTGACTTCGTACCACTCCAGGTCAACATTTGAATAGTGGCACGAAGCTAGATCCGTGTTGCTTCAACAGAGAAAGCAGACGCTTCCGTAGACACTCCTTGTGGTAGATCTCCCCGTTTACAGTCCCGGTAGTCAAGAACGGCTCACTCCGTTTGCCACATGATCCGATCGCTTGCCAAATCATGTATTTCTTGGCAAACTTTGAAAGTTTCTGCTTTTTTACTTCCTCCGGAACATCAAACTTGTACTGGGCGGTGAAGAACAGTAGCCCCGGAAGCTGCCGGAAGTTCGCCTTGACGTAAGTCTCATCATCCATGATCACACGACTCACCGTTGACTGCACGATTCCGAGTTGTTTTCCGATGTCCCGATGAGGGAGTTGAGGATTTTCCAGGTGCTTGCGCAAAATCAATTCGAGACGTTGCTTTTCGGCTGACGCCATTTTTTCCAACTGTCGAATAACTGACAGCGATAAAAATACAGTTTAAACAATACACTCTAAACTACTTCTATCCAAATTTTCAAGAGAAAATACCCAATGGGTAAATTTCTACAGCGTTTTTACCGTGATGCAATTTGATGTGGGACACCCTCTACAAAATTCTTACTCCTTGATACAAAATTCTCTATGATGAATAATGATCCAAATTCAATTTTTTTTTGGCTACTATAGATGCTGTTTGGTGCATGGAATATGAAAATGTACTTACCTTACCAATCAGGCTAAGGCCTTGTTATCCTCTGCTGTCCGAAGAAGTCGTCTCCACTCTACTCGATCCATGGCCACACTTCGCCAGCCTCGTAGTTTGCGAAGGGTCCGCAGGTCGCCTTCTACTTGGTCGATCCACCTTGCCCGCTGCGCGCCTCTTCTTCTTGTTCCTGTTGGGTCGCTTTCTAGAACCATTTTCAATGGGTCGTCGTGCGGCATTCTTACGACGTGCCCAGCCCACCGTAGTCGCCCAACTTTTGCAATGTTGACGATGGGTGGTTCTCCCAGCAGCTGGTGCAATTCGTGGTTCATTCGCCTCCTTCACGTTCCGTCATCCATCTGCACTCCACCGTAGATGGTACGCAACACCTTCCGTTCGAAAACACCAAGGGCGCGTTGGTCCTCCACGAGCATAGTCCAGGTCTCGTGGCCGTAGAGGACCACCGGTCTAATCAGTGTCTTGTAGACAGTCAACTTCGTGCGGCGGCGAATTTTATTCGACCGGAGCGTTCTCCGGAGTCCAAAGTAGGCTCGATTCGCTGCCATAATGCGTCTTTGAATTTCTCTGCCGGTATCATTTTCGGCGGTCACCAGTGAGCCCAAATACACGAACTCATCGACCACCTCGATTTCGTCACCGTCAATCTGAACTCGGGGTGGGAGGCTAACATTGTCTTCCCTAGAACCTCTTCCTTTCATGTATTTTGACTTTGATGCGTTGATGGTAAGTCCAATCCGCCTAGCTTCAACCTTCAGTCTGATGTACGTTTCCGCCATCGTCTCAAAGTTCCGTGCCATGATTTCGATGTCATCGGCGAAGCCAAGAAGCTGGATGGACTTCCTGAATATCGTGCCACTCGTGTCTTTCCCAGCTCTTCTGACCACACCTTCTAACGCGATGTTAAATAGCAGACACGAAAGTCCATCACTTCGCCATTCAAAGGGACTCGAGAGTGTCCCCGATACTCGAACAACGCACATCACTCGATACATCGTCGCCTTGACCAATCGCGTCAGCTTATCCGGAAATCCGTACTCGTGCATAAGCTGCCATAGCTGATCTTGATCGATTGTGTCGTATGCGGATTTGAAATCGATGAACAAATGATGTGTGGGCACGTTGTATTCGCGGCATTTCTGCATTTCCGCCTGGTATTGCCCCACGAACTCTCTTGCAAATGGTGACAGGCGGCGGCATAGAATTTGGGAGAGTACCTTGTAGGCGGCGCTCAGCAGTGTGATCCAACTTGTAGCCCTTTTTGTAGATTGGGCATACGACACCTTCCATCCACTCCTCCGGTAATATCTCCTCCTCCCAAATCCTGACAATTACCCAGTACAGCGCTCTAGCCAGTGCTCCACAACCGTATTTTAATAGCTCACTTGGTAGTTGATCTACACCAGTTGCTTTGTTGTTCTTCAGCCGACCGATCTCCTCCTCAACTTCTTGAAGATCTGGGGCCGGTAGCCTGTCGTCTTCTGCGCATGCTCCAAGATCTGTTGCCGTGCCACCTTCGTTTTCTGCTGCTTCACCGTTGAGGTGCTCGTCATAGTACTGCTTCCACCTTTCAACCACCTCACACTCGTTCGTGAGAAGGTTACCGTCCAAGTCCTAGCACATATCGGCTTGCGGCACGTAGCCTTTACGCGAACTATTGAGCTTCTCATAGAACTTCCGTGTATGGTTTACGCGGTACAGATTTTCCATCACCCCGCGATCTCGGTCTTCCTGCTGACGCTTCTTCCTTCGGAAAACCGAGTTTGTCTGTTCCGCGCTTGTCTGTATCGCTCCACATCAATCTCGCCCATACTGCATTCTTCTCCTCTACTAACAGTTTACATTCGCCGTCAAACCAGTCATTTCTTCTGTCTGGGATTGCAGTACCTAGTTCCGCTGCAACAGTACTACCTATGGCGGAACGGATGTCCCTCTTCAAGAGAAGCTGCGCCAAACTGCTCTTCCGTGGGTAGTGCAACTTCTAGCTGCTGCGCGTAGTCCTGGTCAACTCCGGCGTCCCGTAGTTGCTCAATGTTGGGTCGCGGCGTTCGACTTCGACGGGTGTTATGCTCCGTCGAGAGGTT